TTTTTTTTTTTTTTTTTTTTTTTTTTTGTTGTTGTTGTTGTTGGAAAAAGAAGTGAATTTAGGGTTCTTGAGGGGAGTGATCAGAGAGAAAACAGAGGTAATTTGGGATTGGGTTTGGCCTACTAATACCAAACTCTCTCATGGGTTTATTCGTTCTTCTCGGAGAGAATGAGAGAGAGAGTGCGCCTTAAAGTGAGTGAAGAGTGTGGGGACGTTTTTTCAGAATAGAAAATGGACAAACAAAAAGAAACGTAAATGCTGACTTACCCTTTTCTTTTCTTTCCCCACCTTTTCCTTCTATCCGTTACTCTCTAGCCGATGTTTTAAAAACTTCGAGAGAAACTTTAAACTGGACAATATCCGCTAGCAATAAGCTTGAAGTGCTATAAATGATATCAAAACTAGACATTAAGCGATATCCCAATGAGGAGACTAAACCCTGAATGGAGTGGACACAAGGTAGTGTGCCTATAAAGACGCTAGACCTCAAAAGAGGATGGATTAAGGGGTCTCGTCCTAATAGGGCACGAATGCTAGCAAGGATGTTGGGCCCTATATATGGGTGAGAATTGTGAGATCTCACATCGAAAATGGGATATGAGTTTCGACAAACGTAAGGTTTGAATTAAATCAATAAAGATTAAAAAAATTAAATAATATTATATATTATATATATATTTACCTTCATTTATAAGAATTTAAAAAGTGGTTTGGAATATAAAAAGTTACATAATTATTGATAAATGAAAGGAATATAAAAAGGTATAGAATATTAATAGTTTTATCTTCATTCATAAAAATTTAAAAAGATTCTTTTAAATGTTAGTTTTTTTATTATAAAGAAAAAAAAAAAGACAAAAAGTTAAATTATTTAAAATATTCCGAGGACAGTTTCATTTATATCTCTAAAATTAAAAAAGTTTTAAACGTTAAAATTTTATATTTTATTTTAAAAATATATAAAAATTAATTATATAAATGATTTTAACAATATTAATAAAAACCATAACACACTAACATATGATTTGGATGAAAATTTAAATTTATAATTATAAATAATAATCAAAATTGAAAAAAAAATTAGTATAATATATATGATATGAAGATTTGAACCTCTAACTTTAAATAAATAAATACACGTTAATAATTACAATTATTAAATTTTTTTAAAATTGATTAAATGTAATAATTTTGAATATAAGAATTTAAACAATTTTTTTGAAAAGAAATTAAATAGTTAACGAATATAAAGTTTGTAAGAATATTTAATGAAAGAAAATAAAATATAAAATAATAATGGGCAAACTTTTGTCTTTTTCCCAAAAGCCACTCTCAAATGGGCCTTAAATTAAATAAATAATAATGGGCCCAAAGAAAATAAAATAGTAATGGGCCTCAAATGGGCTTACCACATGGGCCTTAATTGGGCTTGCATTATCAAGTCAATCCTCTCTCTCTCTCTCTCTCTCTACTTTTTTTTATGTCGATACAAAAGTCAAACTTACTCTTCATCTTTTGTATGTTTGACTTTTTTAAAGGTATGCAGATAAAACCGAATCATAAGAAAGTAGGTATTTCTTCACTATTTGTCCTAAACCCTAAACATGTTGTTGACATTCAACGAGCAATAACATTCTGATCCAAAAACGTAGGAGTAATAATGATCAGGTGGGAGGAATCTTCCTCGCAAAGTTGGACAATCGTAATACGTCGATTGTAGTGACGGTACGGGATGTTGGAAATTAGACACTTTCTCGACCCAACATGTTAAGGAAAAAAAAACTTTCGTTTAACATTTATGGAAAGACCATCTATTTGTTTGTTTATCGGGTTCAACACGAAAATCACATATAAGCTCTATCTAATTATATCTTAACCGAATGTATTTGTCATTTTTGTCAGTTAGCTCAAATGACCCAAACCAATTAGAGTTAGACAAATCAATTCTCAAACTCTAATAAATCTCGAATAGGATAAAAGTTTTACTATTTTTTAATAAACAAGAATTAATACTCAGTTTCGTTTCATATACGTTTGTTCATGTAAAATTTAGAAAATTTTGGATTTTTTTAATAGATTTCGTTGTCTACTCATTGTTTATCTACTTCGATCGAAAACGAAAAACATGTCTTAAACTTTGTGATTAAAGTTCGTTTTTTTTCGAAACTGAGATGAACGGGTAATATCTATCTAAAAAAAGTATATATTTATTTCTTAATTGTTTATAGAAATAGAAAAAGAAGCGATTTGGAACACCGACAAATGTCATAAATATATGAACTAAGCTCTTTTTAGACGTAACCTCAAACCAAAATACAAAATAAAAGGCAAAGGCAAACCCAAAAGTCAATGCTTTTATAATTTATTATGACATTTTATTTTTTTTCTTTTAAGAGAGAAAAAAAAATGAAAAAAGAAAAAAGAAAAAAAGGAGGAGAAGGAGTGGAATTTACTTTTTTGACCATTAATAGAATAACATTCAGAGTCATCTATCTCTTGGGTACACGTGGCGGAAAGTGAATGGACGAATGAGAATTTATCAAATGAACACGTCATCAGGTGTCGGAGATGTTAAGGGGACACGAATCGGCACGTGATTCACGGAGTTTGGTCGTGGCGGCAGTTTTTGCCGTTGGACTGTTCACGTAAAAGGCCTCTCTCTCTCATGTCTTTTTCCTCATTTATTATTATTATTATTATTTATAAAAATAAAATAAAATAATAGAAATTTTAATTTGTGATGATAAAATGCATTCCCCATCTCTCAAAAAATTGGAACTTTTTTTTCTTTTTCTAAGTCAATAATTGTACCTACTTGAATTTATATATATATATATATATATATTACCGTTAATACTCTTTACAGTTTTCTGCAACATAACCACATTAGCTGCTTGTACTTGTTTTGAAGTTTTTATAAGAGAGAACCTTATCTTGACATACTAGCACGAATCATTTTAGTATGTTTTGTTTTTACTCATATAATTTCTAGAAAAATTCTAATAAATCACCTGAAAAAGGAGCTGCTTTTGACTCGATCATCCTATTAGCATGTCATTTTCGCGTACCCATCGAACAACAATTCTTAGGGGAGTTCCTTAAGGTCCAATTCACTCTACATAGATTGACTGAATGTAAAAAGTCTAGAGAAATGTTTCAAATCATACACGTTTAACTTAGAGTTCTGATAATTGAATGACCAAAAACAAAGTTGCAGCTTGTTAGCATAAGTAGTAACTCTCGGACATCTTGATATTTCTGCTAATTTTGTCATTATAAAAAGGTGGACAAAAATGGGTGCTCCAAATAATATATGAAAAAGTAATGCCGAACAATCCATGTGAAATTGAGGTCAAACAAACCATAATTTAGGTCAAAATTATGTTTGACACGTGTGCGAACATGGTGCCATCAAACCCTTGACTAGATAACTCGTGGGGCCCACCCTTTAGGTAAGATACCACCAAAATGTAGTTAAAAAAAAATTCTCATGTTTTTTTTTTTTAAAAAAAAAACCTAATTACTAATTATTAATTAAGAGTCAACAATTAAATTATATCCCATTAATTCCAATTTTAGCCACTTCCATTATTATTATTATTTTTATTAATCTTAAGTGAGTTTTAATATATATTTTTTCTATTTAATTCAAAATTTTTAAAATAGATATAAAACCCTAAAGATTTTTTTTTTTTTTTTTTTTTATATTTTTAAAGGGAAAGTGTGAAATTGTTTAGAGTTGTTGAAAAGATGGGTTTTATTTATTATTTATTTATTTTTAAAATCTTGTGGTCAACTAGTAAAAGGATATAAACGTGGTCAACACCATGTTTTTTTCTAAATTAATCCATAATTAAATGGATGACCGTTGAAAATATAGTCAAACATTTTCAATTTTTAACATGCGTGGAAAATAGTTGTTCTTATCAAATGTGAACCAAAATCATAATGTTTACGATTTTAAAAAAAAAAAAAAACATGATAATCACAAAATATATAATCTTTGTGTTCATCTTTAGCAAGATACGTTTAGACTTGATGCTTCCTCACACGTTCGTAGATTCATAAAATAAGATTGCATATTGAAATAATATTCATGTAGAAGTACATGAATGAACCGAGACTACGTTCGAATAAGAGTGATTCTGAGTGTGTGAAGTTGCGGTCAATAAAGAAATAAAAAGAATTGATAATTACTATATATGCTAATAGTATGCATTTTCCTTATTAGTTATTTATTCATGGTAATTTGTTGTTAAACATGTTTAGACGGGAGAAATTGTATGTGGGTAAGAACAAAACATGTTAAAATGATCCGTGTTGGTTTGTGAGAATAGTTCACTCGTAGAAATCATTCCAAATACGTAGCTCGAAATATAGGGAAATGTCAAGGCCATTAAAATAGAATGTAACAAACCAAGTTCACCGCTAGTAAATATTGTCCTCTTTGGAATTTCCCTTTCGGGGTTCCCCTAAAAAGTCTACTAAGTATAGGTTTCCACATATTTATAAGGAATATTTTGTTCCCCTCTTCAATCGATGTGGGATCTCACAATCCACCCCCTTAGGGGCCAGTATCCTCATTGTCGCTTCGTTTCCTTCTCCAACAGATGTAACATAAAAGAGTTACAATATATTCTAAACATGAGTCATGATATATTTAGAAAGAGGGTCGTTTGGATAAGCTCAAAAGATTGGTAAAGAACCGACGATGTGATGTTTGAGAAAAATAAGGTGGTTGTATAGTGTACTAAAATAGATATGTTGTTGCATTGAAAGAGATAAATATTTGTTGTATCTAAGACATAGATATATATATGGTCCTAAATGTTTAGGAGATGAGTTTGGATAAGCTCAAAGGGAGGCATAGCAAAGATAAAAGGGGTTGGGCATGCCCCAAAGACTACCCCCTATTTGATTTGACCATGCTCAAACTAGGGCCAACCAACACATTCTAATACCATCTTCTTTATTCCCTTAAGTAAACAATTCTCATTTCTTTCATTTTATCCTCCAACCACAACTATGAAATGGGACCCAAACATGAACCAAACCCACTTGGAATGCCTTATCCCCAACCCCCAATTATGTGGGAACATCTCTACCATTCCAATCATACT